AAAACCCGACCACAAGTAAACGCATTCTCCGAGTCACTGTCTAGTACAAATGTCTCATAACTATGGATTCGTGTCAAAGACCAACACTATCTGCAATAGCTTCAATAAGGCATGTCGTTCACCGCTACAGCGTGTTTCAGCTTTACCAGCGCTTTCGATCTTTTGATATTTTTATAAGAAGCCAGCAGCGTCCCACACACTCCATTACAGGTAGGGCTCTTACAGAAGCTCACTACTACAATTCCTCCCCGTTATCGCGGTCACCCATCTGTTTAGGCTTAGACTGGTCTGTACTCTCGCGAAATTCCAGGAGTTGTGACCAAGGCAGCTCGTCAAGAGCCCTCGTACCGCGACAATATTTATTTCTTTCATGACATTGCGAATCACCATGATCCGAAATGAGCCCGGTAAGAAATTCTGGAGCTGCGGCAAGATTTCTTACCTCTCTTAGCGTATTCCCCTGGTCGAGCTGTAAATGACTGCCACCTATCCTGGACCTTAAATCATCATCTTGATGACGAAATAATTAGACGATCAACTCCAACTCGAAAGTGAGGTCGCCTCCTTTCTCGACCCGCACTCCGCTGGGTTTTGGCAAAGGAGCATCAAGAAATTTTCTGAGCGTTGAAGACAAGTGGTGGACACTCATGGTAGATATATGACCGGTCAGGAGTTGTAAACAAAAAAGATAAAATTAAAATCAAAAATTTGAAAAAGTGTTGCAGGACTTTCTTTCCATATAATAATCAGTTTGGAAAGAAGCTGAACAGACTATTAGAGAGCGCAAATCTTCCGCTTTTCGAAAATGTCTTCCTTTTTTCGAGCTCTCAGAAAATTAGAGAGATATTGCTTTTGGAAGTAAGAACTAGCATGAAAATTTCTGGAGCAGTAGGAACTAGCATGAAAATTTAATCGTCCCGACACTGACTCGACGCACTTCGGGAAACACTAGCTCCCCGAGTGCAAGACTTTCAGAGCAATTTCAACACTTCTTCTTCTTCTCCCTAGCGTTAGTCCCGCGCAGTCGCAGGGTCCGCTGTCTTTGTCAGTCGTCGCCACTTTGCTCTGTCCAGGGCATCCTCTGCTGTGGCCGTGACTTCACTTAGGTCCTTCTTGATACGTCTCTCCACCTCTTCTTTGGGGCTCCTCGCGGTCGCTTGCCTTGCACTTCGAAGTCCATCGCTTTCTTATCGGATGGATCCTGTGGCCTCCTTAGCACGTGCCCATACCATCGCAGACGCTGTTCCCGCACCTTCAGCTGGACAGGGGCAGTCTGCATGACCGCTCTGACATCCTCGTTTCTGACCCTGTCCAGCCGCGTCCAGCCGCAGGCCCATCTCAGCATCCTCATCTCAGCGGAGTGAAGCTGCCTTTCGTGATTCTTGTTCAGGGGCCAGCACTCGCTGCCGTATAGCATCGCAGGCCTTACCACTGTCCGGTACACCTTCCCTTTGAGCGTTCTGGAGCACCTTCGATCGCAGAGGATTCCAGTGGACTCCCTCCATTTCATCCATGCAGCGTTGACCCGAGCCTTCACTGCCTGATCCACACTACCGTCGGCTGCCAGATCGCTCCCAAGGTATCGGAAGTCCTCCACTCTTTCGATGGTCTCACCATGGCCGTCCACGATCGGCTCTGCACCCTCTTCAGAGCTCAGGAACTTGGTCTTCTTGACATTCAGCCAAAGCCCACCTTCTGCAAGAACCTGCTGCCCTATCAGGGCGATGTCGTCAGCGTAGAGGATTGTCTTCAGTGGTCCTTCCATGAGCCCCTTCACCAGGACATCTAGTGTAGGAGGAAGAGGAACGGGCTCAGAGCTGACCCTTGGTGCACCCCAACCGTGATGTCCACCTCCTTCGTTAGGCCGTGTGGGGTGCGTATGGCTGCCTTAGCCCCATCGTACATGTCCTTCACCAGAGAGATCAGGTGTTCTGGCACGTTTCGTTCCCTGAGCGATCTCCATAGTACTGCTCGCGGTAGCCGGTCGAACGCCTTTCCAGGTCGAGGAAGGCTAGGTAGCAGGGTCGGCGCTTTTCTCGATACTTTCCATCACTTGCCTGCGATGAAGATGGCATCCGTTGTAGACCTTTCGGGCATGAACCCGAACTGTTCCTGGGAGATCGGGACCAGCTCCCGCAGCTTCGAGTCGACCAGCCGCTCGTACAACTTCATGGTATGCGCAGTCAACTTGATCCCGCGGTAGTTGGAGCAGTCCATCGCGTCGCCCTTCTGTTTGAAGATGGGGACGATGGTACTTGTCCTCCATGCATCCGGCATCTTTCCTTCCACTGTTACCTTGTTCAGGAAGCTGGTGAGCCACCTTATGCCGTACTCTCCGAGCGCCTTCCATGCCTCGATTGGCACCCCATCTGGACCAACCGCCTTCCAACCTTCATCCTCCCAAGTGCACACCTAACTCATCCTCTGTCCAGAGTGCG